AAAATAAAATAAACAATAAATAAATGGAAAAGATAAAACAGTCCTTGTATTTACTGTAGCAAATCAAAGCATTCACTTCAGGCTTCACCAAGGTAAAAGAAAAAAAAGTGCAAAGATGTATCAGCACCTTACAGTCCAGTAAAAACGCACACTGTGCTGACCGTGATTCACACACTGTAATCCAAGCTTCTCAGGAGGATGAGCCAGGAGGATCTCAGGTTTGAAGCCTGATGGAGCTGCTAAGACCCTGTCTCAAAATAAAATTTATTAAAGGTCTGGGATGTAGCTCAGTGTCAGAGTGCTTGCTCAGGAGAGTCCAATCCCCAGTACCTCCCAAAAAAAAAAAAAACAGTACTCTGATTTTAATTGCATTAAAATGAAGAATGACTTACTTTCACTTTATCTAATCAGAACATTTATTAAGATTCTGACATTTGGCCTCTGGGTCCTGGAGAAACCCTAATGAGCCAGGGAGGCAAAGATCCTATGCTCCTGGTATTTGTGTTTTAGTGGGAGACACTCCCAATTAACCACCAAAATGAAAATGGTCCTCTACTTACCATGGAGGTTGTATCCTGGTAGTAAGAAATCATAAGTCAGAGATGCATTGAATACACCTGACCTACTGAATACCATAGCTTGGCAACAGAGCGCACCAGGGAGTATTGGTTGTGCACAGTGGCTGACTGGGAGCTGCAGCTCGCCACCACTGCCCAACATCCAGGAGGCATCTTACTACACGTCCATGGCCCAGGAAAATATTAAAATACAGTACAGTTCCTACTGAATGCATGATGCTTTCATACCATCATAAAGTCAAAAAATCATAAGTCAAACCATCCAAAGTTGGGGAGCATCTGCACAATATGAGATCAGGCAGAAAGAAGGGCCATGAAATACTAAAGCAAGATATGAGAGTTGAGTCTGCAGGGAGGTTGCTATTTTGGGTAGGTGATCAGGGGAATGTTCTCTATGCAAGTGACACTTAAGCAGAGATTAGAATGAAGGAAGGAAATAAACTCTGAAGCTAACTGGAAGAATAGAATTCCAAAGAGGAATATTTTAGAGATCTGAAAAAACATGACGTGTGAAGGGCTGGGAGGGATGATACCAAATGAAAATTTTTCACAATAAAAGGGAACAATTTTCTTTATAGCACATCATTTTGAGTATGCTTCATAAACATGGAAGTATTAGATCACTCATGTACCAAATATTTTTGTGAGATTATTGAATTCAGTGCTGGGGATAGTAGTTAACAAAATAATCATGAACTGTCACAAAATAAATAAAATATTCAACTGTGTGGAGGAAAAGTGCATGGAATCTATAGACCAGGGGAAATATACTTTGTCCCAGGGTCCACCTGAGAAGGCTACAGTCCAGCTGAGAGCTGAAGGATAGGTAAAAATAGTGAAGCAGATGACGAGCTGGACAAGGATATTCCAGGCAAAGGGAGCAGCATGTGTAAGAGCCCCTGTGGTCAGAGGGCCCAGGCAGAATTACTACAGTAAAGTCTGGCTTGAGCTCAAGCTGGGAACTTGGCAAAGGCCAGAACATGCAGAGTTGCACACTTGTAGTTATGCTGAGAACTTGGTCCTTACACGAGCAATCAGAAGTAACTGAAGTGTCTTAAGCCATTTAAGACTTTAAATTCCGAGTACATATAGCTTCCTTAAGAACTTAAGAGGTACTGTCAACAGTTAGGCATGCTTCTCTTTGTCTCAGCTTATCCAGGTTTATATACAGGATTATTTTGATCTATCCAATAACAACTTTACAAGCTTCTCCAATCATCTAGTGTCATAATATGAATAGGAACAAAATAAGCAGTGCAATTTCAAAAAAGTTCTCATTCCAGTAGTAGCCAAACTTTCCCATTTTCATTATATCATACTCAGTTGTTAAATAAAAAATATATGTTCCATGAAGAATTTAGCATGAACTGTTTCCCAGAAACTCAAATCCTAAATCTACTCTGAAAAGGAAGTTGAAGATGGTCTGCTATTTTTTCCTCTGGAATTGGAGTAAGACATAGAGATAAAAATAATGGAAACAAGGACCACATTAAGAGATTATTTTCCTTGAGAAGATCACAAATACTTGCCTAGTAATGAATCAAATCAGTTGAAGAATAGGAGCTTTTACTGAATTTCTGTTCTGGCACAATCATTCCAGCAACTGCCTGCAAACCATTTATCTAGCAGCTGCATAAAGAATAAAGAATGTGCTGAAGAACTTCCTACAAGAGTTGATAAAGGGAAGTTTCTCCTCTAAAGTAAGTGACTATCAGTGGAACTAAAGCAGAAAATAAGGAGGAAAATTACATAGGATTATAAAATTCATCAAACTTGAGGACCCTGGAGAACAGGGAGAGAGGGTCTCCAAGGCATCACAAACCCACATTTATAGGTTCAGAGCTCCAAAGAATCACACAAAAATTACAAAATTTGAAAGGAAGTACTATAGGGCAGTGATGTCACGTGAACCTTTTAGAGATCAGGTGCCCAAACTACAACTCTAAAGCCACTTATTTATCATAAAGTGATAACACTGCAATTGAACCTGAATGCTGACGTTTTAGTTTAGAAAAAACAACTCATACATTTGGCTCACGTGTAACAGAGAGGGCTCTGCATCCCCACTGCAGCACACATGCAATGGCATTGCCACCACAGTCTAGGGTAAAGGGACAATCTAGGAAGACACAAGGTGTGAGACTCAGAACAGTGATTATGAAAGATGTTAATTTCATTTTTCTGCAATTTTAAAACTCAGAGAAGGCACCAAAATGAAGATATGGAAAATTAAAAAGAAACTAGACATATTAAACAATTTATTAGGATACATTTTATATTTGAAACAATTAAGACACGAGTTATCAGAGGCCTGACAATATCAGGACCCTGGCCAGGTCCCCTCCTACTCACTTTTCAGTTGGGATCATAACACCTCAAATAATGCTCACAGACTCCCTGTCTGGGGCTTTTCCTAGCCCAAACATGAAGTTTCCCATTTGTGACTGAGAAGAAAATACTCCAACTTCTCATCCAACAATAGGACAATTCTAAAACATCTCCAATGCTGTTATCTCATATAACAGGCTTTACAAGCCTCACTATTATTATGTTCACTGTGGTAGCTGCCCTCCCTTCACTGTCTCCCATTCCTACTCCCATACTAGTGTTTCCTGGGATCTCTCACAAACAATTTCATTTGAATCATTGCTTAATGGTCTGTTTTGGAGAATCTCAAGATAAGAAAGTAATAGAATATCACCTAGAACTGAGTTCTTTACCTTCATACAAAGTGCAAGAGATCAAAACTAGGAAGAAAGCATATAAGCACAGCTTCACAATATAACCCAGTGAATAAGGAGTTTCTGACAACTAGGGTAGAGGGGGAAGGAAAGAAATACATAGAAATAAAATTTTTAGAGTAATTTAAAAGAGCGAAGTCTTGATAGAAAGATGAATGGTAATAAAACACATTCCCACATTATTAAAACAAAATGATACCTACATGAAATAATAGCTTATCTATATCAGTAGAGTTCAGTTTTCTAATTCTCCAGTTAGTTTAAAATTTAACAGACACTAAGGATCTGTCTTTGGGATAAGAAGGCAAAAATCCTTCTAATCTTCTGTATTTCTTCCTACAAAGTTTGTACATTTATTACACAAAACACACCTACACGAAAGTGTCATATTACCAATTCTGAACTTGATTCATAGTCTTGGCAATAAAATCTGCTTATACCAAAAATAAGCAACTGAAATTTAAGTTTCCATTCTATAATTTTGACAATCAAATCTGTTCAGGAATATATTATTAGTTAACAGTTAACATTTTTGTGATCAATTTTTCATTATTTCTGAATAACTATGCAAAGTGAAGGAAACTATACTTATTCTAGCAGCAGCAGGTAATGGGTGGTTGGCCTTATTGTTTACAGGTCAAATATAAAGGTAAACTTGCAGTTTTCAAGGAATATTAGCTTGGCCACCAATCTTTTGGCATCTTCTCATGAAACTAGTTTTAAAAATTAAATGTAAGAAATTTCCAGCAAAATAAACCAAAGTCACCCTCTACAAAGTTTATTCTGAATATGCATATATTAAAGAATTTTGTAAATTGGGGCTGTTATTTCAAGACAATTTCCAACCTCTCTCAAGAAATTTATTTTCAGCTCTATCCCCAGGACTCAATTTATAACAACATGCCAAATTTTAAAAAGAAAAAAGGAAAGTGCCTTGATTGCTTGACACATTGAATCAGATTTAGGGATATTTTTCTGATATTTGCTATTATACTGACTACCATATCTGCTTGCTTATTTCAACAAATTGAGATAAATGATGTGTGGTTAGCAAAAGAAGCTTCTCACTTCATAATAATAGCTTGCAAAAGAACCCTCAAAGTATTTTTTAAAAACTTACAAGTGTCTCAATTCCTCACACATTTACCCAAGAAGCAACTCACTTTGTATACATGTGTCTAAATATATATGTCATCACTTATTCACCCATGAAATAAAATTTATTTAATAACTATTACTTTCCTGGTACCAAGAGAGATAATAGGATATAAAAATAATCTCCCTGAACTTTAATGTTTACAGGTAGAAAAGATAAAAAGTAGGTATCTACAAATAGATGTAATAAAAAATTCCAAGTGTTCAATTGGGTAGCACTTCTACTAGTTTATTCACAAATTTAGTCAACAACTATTGCATGCCAAGGATCCCTCCAATTTAGAAGTTATAAAAGTAGTTTCCACAAAGGGCAAAGCCACCTCAGAAGAAAGATTAATTTTTGTGGTGGTTGTTTTAAACATACATAATGATCCACAATTATTTTTGTGTCTAATACTTAGGTAATTGAGGAAAATTTATTAAATAATCTGTCTTTCCTAAAATTCTCTTTTCTTTCCAAGCCAAGAATAGAAAGCCCAAACCAGTCAAATATAATGATGGAGACTCATAAGACAATTATCCTTACCAAGAATACAGGATTGTTCCAACAACAGATGTGAGCTTACTGTTTTCTTGTTTTTGTTTTGCCAGGCCAAAGTCAGCTACAAGTAACAGAACAAAGCAATATGTTAGTGTGTTTGTCCAGACTTAGAATTATTCCCTAACTTCTGACATTGTGCACGGTGACTATTATTTCTCTTCACAGAAGACTTTTGTTTCTTTACACTCTGTAAAAATGTCCCACATGTCATTCTTCCCATCTTAATTAATGGCACATACATGTGCATTGTGCCACAATGAGATTTATCATTTTTTAAAAACCTAAAATAACACTTTCTGACTGCAACCGGATAAAAATCCTTGTTGAACTATGTTTTTATTTTTTAGGTTAACCTTTCCAAATTGCTAGTAAATAACTAACATTTTGGCATAGAGCAGTCATCCTTGCATCTGATCAAAAGAAAAGAAAGGTAAGCCTGAAAAACCATCACAAAGGTCTGAAAACTTGAAATTAAAAGGCATCTATTTGTACAAAGTCACATTATCTGCAAAATAAGGTTTAAAATAGGAAAGGAGTGGGCCAGGGATTTAACTCAGTGGTGCCGCTGCCTGCTTTGCAAGTGCAAAGTCCCAAGTTTGATCCCCGGTACAAAAAAAAAAGTACAGGAGTAAATGGTACAAGAGCAAATTTTAAATTATTTATTAATGCAAAAATCATATATATTTCATATATAAATATATGTAGTACAATATTGAAAACATCTATTCATTTAAAACATACTTGTTTTATTTTTCATTGACATATAATAATTGCACATTTATAGAGAATAGCGTGACAGTTCAATCGGTGAATATAATTTGTAATATTAAAATCAGGATAATTAACATTTCTCCTTTGTTCAACTTAAATTTATTTTTAAGTGGGACCAAAAACAAAAATTGTGCATATCGGGGGCCGGGGATGTAGCTCAGTGGTTCTGCTGCCTGCCTCGCAAGCACAAGGACCCGAGTTCGATCCCTGGTACCAAAAACAAAAACAAAAAAAAAAAAATGTGCATATTAATGGGGTGACACCTGATGTTTTGACACATGAATACATTGCCTAGTGCTTCAATCAGGTTGTGCATCTATTTGTTCAAATATTTATCATTTCTTCACAGTAAAATCATTCAAAATCCTTTCTTCTCATTATCAAGATATACAGTGCATAACTGTTACCCATAATCACCCAACTTTGAGATAACACACAGAACTTCTGGTGCCTCTCTAACTGTAACTTAGTTCCCATGAATCAATCTTTCTTTATCCTTCCCTCCCCACTATTCTTAGTCTCTGGTAACCACCATTCTACTTTCAATTTTTCAAAAATTGACTTCTTTACAATGTACATATGAGTGAAATCATGTGGTACTTGTCTTTCTGTGCCTGCCTTATTTCATGTAACATAGTGATATCTCAGTCCAGCTATGTTGTCATAAATGACAGAATTTCATTCTGTCAGAATAGTATTCCACTGTTTCCATATACCACAGTTTCTTTACCACTTTTCAGCTGATGGACATTTAGGTTGTTTCCATTTCTTGATTATGGTAAATAACCCATATAATGAATAAGGAGGTGCAAATAACTCTTTGACAACCTGATTTCATTTCCTTTGGATATATACCCAAGTAGTAGGATTGCTGGATCATATGGCAGTTTTATTTTTAATTTTTGAGGAACTTTCATACTATTTTCCATAATGAATGTATTCATTTACAGTCCCATCAACAATGCACAAGGGTTCTCTTTTCTCTACATCTTTGCCATCACTTTAGTCTTTTTGATAATAGCCATTCTTACTGGGGTAAGGTGACAGTTCATTGTGATTTTTATTTGCATTTTTCTCATGATTAATGATGAACATTTTTTCATATACTCATTGGCCATTTTTATATCATCTGAGATGCTTCTGTTTAGAACAATTGTGCATTTTAATTGGATTGTTTGGACTCTTGCTTTTGAGTTCCTTATATATTCTGGACATTAATCCCTTAAGAGACATGTAGTTTACAAACATTGTCTCCCATTCTGTAGGCTGTTTCTTCAATCTAATGATTGCTCTATTTGCTGAGCAGAAGCTTTTTAGTGTAGTGTAATACCATTTGTCTGATTTTGCTTTGGTTCCTTGTACTTTTAAGGTCTTCCCAAAATATCTTTTCTCCATACAATGTCCCAAAGCATTTTGCTTAAGTTTTCTTCTAGCAGATGCATATTTGAAGTTCTTACATTTAAGTCTTTAATCCATTTTGAATTGATTTTTGCATGTAGTGAGAGAGAGAGATCTAGTTTTATTCTTCTGAATGTGGATATTCAATTTTCCTATCACCATGTATTGAAGAGCTTCTCTTGTTTCCTATGTGTGCTCTTAGAACCTTTGTCAAAAATTGGTTGTAGATGCAAAGATAGTTGTACTACTGGTAGGCTCTCTTTTCTATTCCATTGCTCAATGTGTATTTTTGTGCCAATACAATACTGTTTTAATTGTTGTAGTAGATTTTGAAGTCAGGTAGTGTATTGTGTATATTATTATTTAATCTTTGCAACCTGTCATCTTATAGGTGAGGAAACTGAGGTTTAGAGGGAATGAGAAACTTGTCCAATGTCTCATGGCAAGTAATCAACAAAGTCAGATGTTAATCTGTGGTTGCTTAAATCTAAAGTGTCAAATTCTTATCAAAGCACCATGCTGCCAACAAAGCAAAAGAGGCCCAGCTTGTTTAAATGACAAGTTCAAACAAACATTTGAAGAGTAAGTGATACTAACTATCCACACATTGTATTAGAATACAGGATAGAAAAAACACTTCTCAACTCATTTCATAAACCCAACACTACTCTGATACTCAAACTAGATAATGACATTACCAAAAGACTCCCTTCAGAATGATATCCACCATGAACATAGACACAAAAATGATCAACAAAACATAAGTAAATCAATCTAGCAATATATTAAAAACAATAATACATGACTAGGTGGGGTTTATACCAGAAATATAAGGCTGACTAAGTATCTCAGAATCAACATAGTTCACCACATTAATATATTAAAGAAGAAAAAGCATATAATTATATCAATAGATATCTTAAAAAAGAATTTTAAAAATGTAACATTTATTCCTTCCAGCAAGGTAGAATTAGATGGAAACTTCCTTAACCTGATAGACAGCACCTACCAAAAAGCCCTACAGATAACATATTACTAAAGTTAAAAGACAGAATATTTTTTAATTTCAAAAACAAGTCAAGGACATCTTCTCTCACTGTTGCTATTCGACATATATTGTAAGTTTGGGTAAATTTGGGTAAATTATTGTGTGAACATAAATTTTAATTTATCACTGATATATGCATTGGAATGAGATTATTAGATATTATAAGAGTATGTTCAATTTGATATTTAAAAAACTATCATGTCAACATTTTCTCTCAGCATAAATGAATGAGGGTTCCTATTACATCTGGCATCTGACATTATTGACTTATTTATTAATTTAATCAGGCACACAAGTTTAAATACAAATAGTTAAAATACAAATAAAAGATAGATGATAGGAAGTAGGGAGATGTTTTTCAAATGGTCAGGGGGACAAGAGATGGAGGGGGAAAGAAGAAGGAGGAAAAAAAAAGAATTTTTTTAAAAATCAAAGAAAAAATGGAAATAGATGGTTTTCAAATGGAAAAGGGATCATGAGTAGGAGGGACCAGAGAGATGGGAGGGAAAGGGGTCAAAAAAGAATTAAGATGCATTAATTACATGTACAAACTCCCCATGATAAAAAGTAATAATTGTGTACCGCAAACACATAGTAATAAAAATACATAATAAAGAAGAGGCTTGCCAGCTGCCATTCCACCACTCCTAGAGCAGAGGAGGTGAGCCAATCCCAGCACCCAGGAGGAGGCTCCTCACTGCCATTCCACTGCTCCTAGGGCAGAAGAGGTGAGCCATGCAGGCACCAGAAGCACTCCCCTCCCATCCCATGGAAATGAGAAGACACATAAACAAGCCTCAAAAACAGACTTTCAGATCACCTACAGCAACCACAAAGGGAAATGAGATGAAACAATCTGATACTCAATCACCTGGACTCTCTGAACTGGCAACAAAAGAGGATCTGGAAAAAATGTAATCGAAATAATTTCTCAAATAACAGCAAAGATTGTGCTCGTAGTGCAAGATATGACTAATAAATCTAGAGAGGACACAGATTAAAAAAATAGAGGATCTGGGGAACATGATGGAATCCCAACATAGGAAACAAATGAAATCCATAAAACAGATGCAAACAGATTTCCAGGAGATTAAAAACTACATTGAAAGTCTATGCAGCAGAATGAACCAATGTGAGGATAGAATTTCCAGATATAGAAGATAAGAGTGCAATTAGTGACCAGGAAAAGAAAAATTGCTTTAAAATTGTAACGGACCACAAGAAAGCAATCCAGCAGCTGCTAGACAATGCAAGGAGGAATAACATAAGACTGATTGGAGTCAATGAAGAAACAAGAGAGTGTAGATGACATTAAAAAAAATTTTCACAGAAGTGATGGCAGAAAACTTCCCAAGCAAGGGAAAAGAACTTCACATACAGATAAGTGATGCATATAGGACTCCAACTAGACTTGATCAAAAAACATTTACACATAGGCATATAATAGTTAGGATTTAAGAAACCCAACAGAAGAACAAAATTCTACAAGCAGTGAGAAAAAAGAAACAAATCACATACATAGGAAAGCCCATCAGAATCACAGCAGACTTCTTAATGCAAACCCTCAAGGCAAGAAGAGCTTGGGAAGTGATGTATTTCAAGCCCTAAAGGAAAACAGCCTCAAACCCAGATTGATGTACCCTGCAAAACTATCTTTCAAAATTGATGGAGAAGTAAGACACTTTAATGATAAAGAGCACCTTAGGAACTTCATGAATGCCAAACCAACACTCTAAAAAATTTTAGACGGTATCCTAGGAAAAGACAATAAGGATCACAACCTCAGGAAGCCCAGCAGAATAAATCCGTTGGGCGTGACAAATTAAACACAAAGGGGGAGATTC